ACCGGTAGCAGTTGATGTAGAGGCGCGGGTCCCGGCGTGTGTGCAGGTAGATGTCGGCCATCTTCTGGCGGGCGTCGGCGTAGCCGGGCTGCGCGGGGCCCACGCCGCGGAGCATGGTGAGGGCCGCGTCCACGGCGCCCTTGCTCAGGGCCAGGTCCACGTTGGCCAGCGTGACGCGGCTCTCCTCGGGCGTGCCCCGGAACTGGTGCACGGCGTCCTGCATGACCTTCGTGGCTTCGTGCTGCCGACCACATGGGGGGCGGGGGAGAAGGAGAGCGGTCTCAGCGGCTGGGTTTGGAGGCCGGGATCCGGAGGACCGTGGTTTGAGGCCGGCCTGGGCAGCGGAGTCCCCCAGAGACTCTCATCCCCCATGAACCACCCGAACACCCGGAGCGGGGCCGTGGCCCAAGCATGCTGGCCTCGGGCAGAGTGGTTGGGAGGAGGGGTGGGGGGTTAAGCAGCGCCCAGGTTGTGAGTTCAAATCCCAGGACGGATGAAAAACCACACAACCTCCAAACCCCCGGGAGCTGGCTTCCTGGCCCTGTCAGCCGCCCCTCCTCCCCATCAGGGTTGGGGGGGGGGTCCCTCACCAGCTCCCCGTTGAGCCGGAGCGCATCCACCAGCTCCAGCAACACCGATGCTCGCTCGCCGGGGTGCAGCGGGGGCGCTCGGCGACTCCGGGGCCCCTCCTCGCCCTTGGCCCCGGGCAGCGCCGCGATCATCTTCAGGGTCTTCACGGCCTCGGCGTGCTCCCCGGATTTGTTGAGGGCTCTGGCCTTGATGAAGTGGTACAGGGGGTAGTCTCGAACCTGCAGACGTGAGACACAGACAGACAGACAGACAGAGAGCACAAGGCCTCAGACCAGGCTCCAGGGGGCCTGGGGAGCTCAGGCTGCACCCCATTTCCCCTTGGTAGGGGGTGTGTGTGGCAAGTCTGGGGGCCATGGCGGGGCCCCCCACCCCCCACCCCCGGCCAGGCACCTGGAAGTTATGGCTGACGCCCAGCTCCAGGCAGTGCGCACACATGGCAAAGTTGCCCTGGGCCAAGTGGACCTGGGCCAGCAGCAGGTGCGCGTCCACCCATGCGGGGTCCAGCTCCAGGCAGCGCTGCAGTGAGCTCTGCGCCGTCTCGAGGTCTCCTGCAATTATGGGGGGCCGTGGGGGGAGTCCCCAGGCTAGAACTCAGGACCCCAGGTGCTCTATAGCTTGAGCCACCTCTCCGCCTCTGCTTTGCTGGGTGGTTCATTTTGCCTCCCCCCCCACACCCAGGGTTGGCTTGGAACCGCGATCCTCTGGATCTCGGCCTCCTGAGCCGTTGGGATGGCAGGCGGGAGCCACTGCGAGCCACCCCAGGGTTTCACTGACTACAGGAAGCCGCACAAAGCGGGAAGCCAGCCAGCCACAGGTCCGGGGACTCCCCCCTTCCTCCTCCAGGCTAGCGAGAGAGGGAGAAGACGGGTTGTTGGGGGGGGGTCCAGGATTTGAAGGTAGAAAGAGCCAAACGCAGGTGGCTCGCGCCTGTCATCCTAGCTATTCAGGAGGCTGAGAGCTGAGGATCACGGTTCAAAGCCAGCCCAGGAGACTCTGATCTCCCATGAACCACTAGAAAACCAGTGCTGTAGAAGTGGTAGGGCACCAGCCTTGAGCTGAAGAGCTCAGGGATAGCGCCTGGGCCCTGAGTTCAAGGCCCAGGACAAACAACAAGGAAAAAAAGGAGCTGAACGGACGGGAGGCCCGGCATGGGAGGCCGGGCAAGGGAGGCCCAGCGAGGGAGGCCGGACCCACCTGAGAGGAAGTTGACCTCCGCCATCACAAGCAGGGCGTCCATCATGGCCGGTGCGGCCTTCAGCACGGGGCTCAGGATCATGGCGACTTGCGTCAGCAGCGGAGACACCACCTGGCCGGGGGGGCGGGGCTGCGGGGGGGGGGATGCAGAACATTCCAGAACCTTCCCACAGCACCCCCCTCCCTCCCTCCCTCCCTTCTTTGCTGTCTTGAGCTTTGGCGCTCTACCCCTTGAGCCACAGCTCCACTTCTGGCCTTGGGCTGGCTTCACTGGAGATCAGAGTCACACGGACTTTCCTGCCCCGGGGGGCTGGTTTTGAACCGCGATCCTCTGGATCTCCTGAGTGGCGGTCTCCCCGCGCATGCGCCCTGAATCCTCCCTGTCCCCCCCCCCCCACTTCACCTGCTTGGGGCAGAAGCGCAGCAGCTCTCTGGCCACGCCGACCAGGAAGAGGGGATCGAGCTTCTCGAAGTACTCAGGGCTGAGGGGCAGCGTGTGCATGGCAGAGAAATGGAGCTCCACCACCTCCCTGAGCAGGGCAGGGGCCGCCTGCTCTCCCGGGGGCTTCTTCGAGGCCAGGAGGGCCTGCAGGAACACCAGTACCTGTGTCCACAACGCCGGGTTGGCAGCAAGAACCGAGAGGGAAAACCCCGCCTCTGAGATCCAGAGGATCGCGGTTTGAGGCCAGCTCCCTGGGGCAGGGAAGTCCGTAAGGCTCTTATCTCCACCAGAAAACCAGAAAGGGGGGACACCGCCTTATATCTAGGGCTCAAGTGGTAGAGCGCCAGCCTCGAGCACAAAGAAGCGCAGGGACAGCGCGCCCACGGCCCGAGTTCAAGTCCTAGGACCGGCAAGGAAACCCCCAGGATGGTCCCGGGCTCGTACCTCGGACTTGCCGAGAGACTGCTGCACCTCCTTCAGGAACTCTAGCTGCTGTGCGGCCTCCTCTAGCTGCCCTTGTAAAATGTGACACCAGATGTTCCCTAGAACGGAGGCCGAAGAGGGTGAGCAGCCGGCTCCACCAGGGAGGCTGAGATCCGGAGGATCGTGGTTCCACACTAGACATGTGAGCCCCCGCCCGCACCCACCTGTCAGCACCGCCATCCTGTCCTCCTGCAGCTTGGTGGCTTCGTCGTACCAGGTGCGCGCCTCCTTCGGCTGGTTCTGCAGGAGGTACAGGTAGCCTAGCTCCGTGGCCGCCAGGCCGCAGGTGGGCGCAGCCGTGAAGACTCGCTCCAGGAAGCTGCTCACCAGGTGGACCACCTCCTGCTGCCTCCCACACTGCGGGAGAGGATACAGGGGTTGGATGGGTGGCGCACGCCCATCATCCCGGCCACTCTGGAGGCTGAGGCTGGAGGATCGGGGGTGGAGGCCAACCCAGCCAGATGCGTCTTCTCTCCAAGGAAGTAATTTAAAAAACAAAAAGCCACCTGTGGAGGTGTGGCTCAAGTGGTAGAGCGCCAGCCCTGAGCAAAAAGCAGCTCAGGGACAGCGCTCAGGCCCTGAGTTCAAATCCCAGGACTGGCATTAAAAAAAAAAAGCTGCAAGTGGAGCTTGTGGCTCAAGTGAGTGGCAAAATGCTGGGCTGGAGCCATGGTTCAAGTGGTAGAGCTCCAAGTTCATGCAGTTGCCCGGGGCTGACTTGGAACCATGATCCTCCGGATCTCAACCTCCTGAGTGTGAGCCACCGGCACCTGGCTACGATGACACAGGATGTGGGTCCTCAGTGGGAAGGCCACGTGGGTGCGGGGAGCTGGCCCATAAGCGGCCGGGGAGCCCCTGGAGGGAAAGGCAGAGAGAAGCCATTGGCGGGAGGCTGGGAGCCATCTTCTTACCAATCTGCTGACTGGGAGAATCTTCTTGAGGTGGAGGTTCCAGTTTCGAGGTTCTTTGGTCTCCAGGGCCTTAATCAGATTTCCCACGCAGTTGGCAGCCTGTCAGGACACACGGACGGACGTGAGTGTGACAGGCGGGAGCCCCCAGCCGGGCTTTCCTGAAATCCTTGGTACCCAGGGTTGTCTGTTTATTTATTTACTATGATTTACTGCCCGGCCCACTTACTAGGATGGCGTTTCCTTCTCTGGCCAGCTCGTGCACAGCTAGGATCTGGCAGGCATCGATATTGTTTTCGTCTTTTTCGAGGATTCTGGAGGAGAAACCACGTGCGTGCGGAGGGCTTGGAGTGCGTGTGTGTGCATGCACGTGTGCGTGTGTGTCACCAAGTAAGCTTGTTTGAAAGGCGACCAAAAGCATAAAGAAGGGGAGAGATTTGCCACCAGGCCGCAGCCCTCCTGGAAGGTGGTTTATATACCTCCCCGACTCCCGAGCTGCACGCTGATTGGGCGATGGCTGATGCAGGCACTGCTCTGGGCTCTTTTCATTGGTTGAGTGGACACTCAGGGCGTGTGCGCTCTGGGCTCTTTTCATTGGTTGAGTGGACACCCAGGGCGTGTGCGCTCTGGCTCTTTTCATTGGTTGAGTGGACACAGGGCGTGTGCACTCTGGCTCTTCATTGGTTGAGTGGACACCCAGAGCATCTACACTATGATGTGTTGTCTGCCATTTTAGGCCCGTTACATTTTGGGGGACTGTGTGTGTGTGTGGGGAGAGGGGGATGTCCTGGGTCAGGGCCTGGACGCTGTCCCTGAGCCTCTCTGTGCTCAAGGCTGACCCCTTGAGCCACAGCACCACTTCTGGCTTTTTTTTTTTTTTTTTTTTCCCCCTCTGGGCAGTTTGGTGGAGATCAGAGTCTCAGGGACTTTTCCTGCCCAGGCTGGCTTCGAACCGCGATCCTCTAGATCTCAGCCTCCTGAGAAGCTGGGATGGCAGGCGTGAGCCGCCGGTGCCCGCCACCTGTGTGATTTTCTATCAGCACCCCCAGGCTTGGAAGAGAATGGGGGGGGGTGTTTGGCCTGGTGAGCTGCACCCCACTCACCTGTGTCCGATCTCCACGGTCTGCTCCCAGTCATGGCAAGCTAAGAAGAGCTGCATCTTCAGGACCAGGGCGGGCAGGAAGCCCCCGGACGCCACGGCCATCTGGTTGGTGGCCTCCAAGGCTCCTGAGAAGTTCTGGTGCATCATGAGGTACGTTGCCTTTTGGGGGGAAAACAGAGTGTGTGTGTGTGGGGTCCGGTCAATGGGAAGGGGGGTGTTGGTGTCCAAACCCAGGCAGAGGGTAACAAATAGATTAATCAGAAGGCAGTAGCCGGGCGCTGGGGGCTCACGCCTGGCATCCCAGCTACTCAGGAGGCTGAGATCCAGAGGATTGCGGTTCAAAGCCAGCCTGGGCGAACTCATCTCCAATCAGCCACCAGAGAACTGGAAGTGGCGCTGTGGTTCAAGCGGTAGAGCACCCTCAGCAGGAAGGAGCCAGGTCCAGGGTGGAGGTGGGGAGGGGGGCCATTGTGTGACCCTGGGCTGGCCCTGAGGTGACTTCTCTTGGCCTAGGCTCCTCACCGACCAGAAGGGGAGGCCTGAGGTCTTGTGATAGGTCCCTGCCTCCTGTCACTCCGTTGGGAACCCGCCCTCTTCTCCCCTGTGGCTCCGCCCACCTTTCCCATCAGCCCCAGCAGGTCTTTGGTGTCTTGAGTTCCCTGGTCCAGATACTTGATGGCTTTCTTCACCAGGTGCGGCTTGTCGGAGGTGAGGTCCACCCAGCCCTTGAGGACGAGGCCCTGGGTGAGAATAAGGGGTACACAGAGCTCTGGGCTCTGCTGACTCAGGCCACCACCTGCCCCCCCACCCTCTCTTAATTTTATGCCCATCCTGGGATTTGAACTCGGGGCCTGGGCGCTGTCCCTGGGCCTCTGTGCACAAGGCTGGCGCTCTGCCACTTAGCTTTCTGGGTAGTTCCTTGGAGATCAGAGACTCACGGACTTCCCTGGCCCAGGCTGGCCTGGGACCGCGATCCTCCAGATCTGAGCCTCCTGAGGAGCTGGGATGATGGGTGTGAGCCTCCCCTCTCCCCCCCAACAGATCTAGAATTGGGACTCCTTTTTGGGTGCCGTGGGGATTTCCATGGCTGGTCCTCGTGGTGGCAGGTACCTCTCTGGCGTTGCTGGAGGCCTTCAGCATGTGGTCGATGTATTCCCGGGCCTTCTCGTGTCGGCCCACGAGCCACAGGAAGATCCCGGCGTAGTAGAAGGCGGCATGGTTGGCATGCCGGCGTAGCTCCTTCAGGCTGCTCTCCAGATCCTGGATGGCCTCCCGATCTACCCGCCCCAGGGTGGGAAGACAGGGAGTATAGTAGCTCACGCCTGCCATCCCGGCTACTCAGGAGGCTGCGATCGGAGGAGGATCTCTCATAGATAACTGCCCCCCCAAAGCTGGAAGCGGCTCCAGGCCTTCTGTGGGAGAAAGCCAGAGCGCTTGGTGGGCCTTCTCTGCGTGGTTCGACTCACCGTGGGCATGGTGGATTCTGTAGGCATACAGCAGAGCCATGACGGAGCAGAGGGTCAGGTGTGGATGGTTCTGCATGTTCTCCAGCTCACTGATGGCGTCTGCGACGCATCCTGCCAACAACAGGTGGGCCTGGGCCTCCAGGCCTGAGCTGAGAGGCCGGGCACCATCTTCCTACACCCAGATCTGAAAGGAGCCCGGAGCCCGGGCTGCTACCAGGAGCACCAGCTGCCAGAGGTGGACAGGTAGGCCCAGGCACCGAGGCTCACGCCTGTCATCCCAGCGACTCAGGAGGCTGAGATCTGAGGATCGCAGTTTGAGGCCAGTCTGGGCAGGAAAGGGCGTGAGACTCTTATCTCCAACTCACCACCAGAAAACCAGAAGTGGCGCCGTATATATACATATGTATGTATGTATGACTCAAGTGGTAGAGTGCTAGCCTTAAGCAAAAAGAGGGTAGGGACAATGCCCAGGCCCTGAGTTCAAGTCCCAGGACCGACTCAAACAATTAGAACAAAACAAAACCAAAAAACAAGGAGTTCTGGCCTGTACCTTCCCTGAGGAGTCCATAGGCCTTGAAGAACAGCAGCCCGGGGTCGCCGCTGAATTTCTCCAAGCCGCGGGCCGCGGTCTGCTGGACCTGGTTAAAGTACTGCTCCTGGCTGTAATAAATGATCTCAGCCTGTGCAGAGAGAGACAGAGAGGGAGGAAAGAGGGAGGAGGAAGGGAGGGAGAGATAGAAGGGGGGTGATCAGGGCTCCTTTTGCAAAAGGGACAAAGCAAGCACTGGGAGGGGCTGGGAAGGTGGCTCAGTGGTAGAGTGCATGAAGCCCCGGGTTCGAGTCCCCAGTGCCAAATCCACAGGAAAAGCCGGGAGTGGCGCTGTGGCTCAAGCGGTAGAGCACCAGCCTTGAGCAGAAGCAGCCCAGGGGCAGCAGCGCCCAGGCCCCGAGCTCGAGCCCCAGGACGGGCAAATAAAATACAATAATCACAAAGCAGTGAGTGTGTGCAGGCGCATCGGATGCAAGTGCAGGACGTGTGTGCAGCTGTGAGCGCGTCTGTGGATGGGGGGCGACGGCACTCACAGTCCGGGTAGACTGAGGCAGGACGGGTGGGGCCCGCGGGGCGGGATCCGGGGCGGGACGAGCGGATGGGGGGTGCGGGGAGGGGAGCCCCGGGCCGGCCACCCACCACGAAGGAGGAGGCGTCGCCGCAGTTCATCGCGGGGGGCCCGCGATCGCGGGGAATCCAGGTCCTGGGGCAGGGGGGGTGGAAGACTCGACAGTGCGCGTGCGCGCGCGTCCTTGGCAACCAGGTTGCTAGGGGCGGCGACGCCGGCCGC